GAGCATAGAAACGACAAGTATGGAAACATTAAATACATGAAACGTTTTGGAGTATAGAACAACAGCTTGGGAAGCAGAATACAATGAAATATATCGGAGCATAAAACTAAATGTTTGAGAAGCACTTTACATGAAACTTTTAGGGACATAACAACCAAATGTTTTGGAGCATAAAAACCACAAGTATGGGAACCCGATTGCATCAAACGATTTGGAGCATAAAAACCAAAAGTTTTGGAAACCAAATACATGAAACGTTTTGGAGAATAGAATCAAAAAGTATGGGAACCCGAATACATGAAATGTATGAGCATACAAACCAAAAGAGCCTTATTCATAGCTGTAAAACTAGCGTCAGGTTAACTTTGCCTGATGATGCTGTAACCTTTGTTTTAGTACGTTTAAGTACCTCATATTAGATATTGCATACAAAAATCATAACTAAAAATCATACTTGTAAAATATTAAAGTGGAACTGCAAGGTGAAATATGAGTGGATACGGGTTTGGTTATATTTTTTTTAATACAACTAATACAGGACTATGAAAGCTCGAGGGTATGATCATCTACCCAATGATAAAAGTATTGATTAATCACACACATTTAGATCAGTTGTAAGCTGACAAATGATATTTTCCCGAAAAATATTATTGCATTTCCTCAGGCAACGTAAACCTCTCACTTGTACAGTGGCGGATCCAGAATTTTTCATAAGTGGGGGCCCACTGACTGCCTAAGAGGGGGCCCGCTCCAGTCATGCTTCAGTGATTCCCTATATAATCAACCAAATTTTTCCAAAAAAAGGGGGGCCTGGGCCCCCTGAAAAACCCTCTTAATCCGCCTCTGCTTGTAGTTATTTATCTCTCCTTGTGTACTAACTTTTTGGCTGTTTGCGTTCCTGATAAGGATGAAACATACACAGCAGTTTTCACCTTGATTGGTCAAAAATGTAATTCTTGAAATATTTATCAAGGCAGTAAATAAAATTAATCAAATCTATAAGGTGTTATGTAGCTTGCTTGACTTTCCCGACTTATCCCTCAAATATCGCTCATTTAGCCTGAAGGCTTACGGGTACGCACTTTCATAATCTTATTGTCAAGTGATAGTCAGTAACAATACATGATAACAACATATTTTAACTTCCGCCCGAAAACAGTTTACAAGAAAAACGGATATAAATCTAAAATTATATATATGGGCGTATAATACAAAAAAGTTTAAACAATATCTCATTGGATACTAGAATAAGGTAAAGATATTTCTCGAAAAGAGACATTCGAGAATCCCATTCAATGTTATCAAAGTACATCAGCATCGTGTAATCAAGAAACCCTGGTGGACTATCAGTCCCCGAGAAAAATGCTTATTAACAAGTGCTTAGGTAGTGGCATCAAATAAAACAATTTGGTTGTAAACTTTTACTTTATAAATCATGTAACTGAACAAAATCCCGTGTTATTGGCAATGAAGTCGGTTTCTTGTATCACAAACAAAGACGGTGAAAACGGTACTGATTTTGTGTGAGATGCAGCTAGTTGCGGGTATAGATATGATACTGGTAGTGTGTGCACATATTAAACCATTAGTATTATGTATGTGCTAACCATGTGTTGTTTCATCGTTTTATTTTCTTATTTTATTGACTTGACAATAGATACGAATTTAATTGTCCTTGTGTTCTATTCAAATATTGGTTTGGCCTTTCGAAATTAAACTATTTAATTTTTTTTTGAGTTTTTAAAGACGAAATTTAATATAACACTTGCAACAAAGTCGAATTTCAATATGTAAACATTGACATGAAATGTCAATTAATGAATTATTGTTCTAAGGACTAAACAAAAAGATACTTGTTTTTTTTATATAGATTAGACCGTTGGTTTTCCCGTTTGAATGGTTTTACACTAGTAATTTTTGGGGCCCTTTATAGCTTAGTTTTCGGTGTGAGCCAAGGCTCCGTGTTGAAGACCGTACTTTGACCTATAATGGTTTACTTTTATAAATTTTGACTTGGATGGAGAGTTGTCTCATTGGCACTCATACCACATCTTCTTATATCTATTGTAATCGATATAAACACCAAAAAGACGAAAATGAAATCAAAAGGCACCGCTATTGCTACGTCCGATGAGTATTAATTTACCCAAAATAAGGATGATAGTATGGGACAACTATCCATAAATGCCAAAGAATAAATACAGGTCACAATAAATCCACTTGAAATTCTGTAAAAGAATTTCGAAAGTTCGAAATTCAACTGCATCATTTATGGTTTATGGAGAACTTGTGAGGTTTCCACTCGAAATTCGGGTCAAATTGAGGATGATTTCTTTTTGGAGTAAATTAGTATTAAATGAAAATAAACTTAGCAGTACTTTATACAAGTTAATGCTATGTTTAAAAAGCAATCATGGAGTGAATTTCAAGTGGATAAACCACATAGAATCTATATTTAATGAGTTAGGCATGAGCTTTATTTTTTTAAACCAGTTTGCTGTATACGAAAAGGCTTTAGTAAAACAAATTTTGTGTGACCAGTTCATACAAAAATGGTACAGTGATTTACACACCACATCGCGTGGACAATTTTATTCACTGTTCAAAAAGAGTTTTGAAATAGAAAGATATCTTATTAATTTACCAGAGTCATTTAGAATTTGGATTTCAAAATTTAGAACTGCAAACTTACGATTGCCTATAGAAACTGGTAGATGGTACAATATACCAAAATCAGAAAGAAATGTAATTTATGCAAAGAGGATATTGGTGATGAATATCATGTATTATTTATTTGTAAAAATGCAGAGATAGTAGAATTGAGAAACAGATATTTACCACAATATTATAGAAATAACCCAAACATTGTAAAAATGGAAGGTCTTTTGTCACTTTGCAATATTGAACTATATAAGAAATTGTCAGTGTTTATCAGAAAACTGTCTTCTCTTCTCTAAATTTTGTTTCTATTAATTTGTTAATCACATGTTCATTTCTGTCATATTTAATGTATATGTGTTATCAATAATGACCTCTTGTAACACATTGTAAATGTGTCTGAGTGTTTTCCTAATAAATCTTGAAATCTTGAATAACTTAATACCTTAATACCGTCAACAATCAGCAAATTCCATACCATTAAATAAGATACAACTCTTGGTCGACATGATGAGGCAACATTCAAGTGTTAAGAAACGGCATAATTAATTATACAACAAGAAAACAAAAGAAACGAAAATTATGGCAAACAGCAACAATAATTTCTAGCTCTTGGCTTAAGACAAGCACATAAAAAATGATTTGCTTTATGCTATCGCGTGACCCGGCACCGAGTGTATTTACGTTCTTTAAGTGGAAATTAAAGTGATTCTTTTACCAAATCATATATTTCGCTGCCTAAAATTAACTCGTTCCAGCCATACGTCTGTTTATATTTACAATACATGTACTAGCAGTTAGCCTCTATTGTGTAATTCGATTCAAAGAAATGCCATATGTTTTTTTTATGTGATAGTTTATTGACTTTGTTGAAATAAAGGTAATTTCAGACTTAAGTTACTGTATTAGTTTTTCCAACATTTCATCATCATTTACATAAATCATTACAACTAAGAAATTTGTGAATTCTCTATATTAATAGTACGTGTCATTTATTGTTTTTCATCCGGAAATTTTCGTTGCATAATTAACTTTAATCTAAATTTAGTGACCCTCTTGTCAGTTTTATTTTCTGAAAATTTCGGGATCAGTTTTCCGACTGTTGAAGATTGGTTACAAAAAATGAACCATTTGTTCATTTTGCGTAATGTAAAATCAAAATTCAAAATTATTTTTATTTGTAAAAATGCAAGTATTTGCAAATACAGGTACAGTTGAAAACTTAAACACAAACATATGCGTACCCACAACCCTTCACATATATAGTGTAATCAGGATATATTACAAATCAACAATTTACAAATACCGATATAAATTGAAATAAACATGTTTGAATTATGATATACATTGTATTGTGATATAAATTAAAAGTATTAAGGGAATAAGTATCAGAGTTCCCTGTCACTAGAACTAATGATTTCTTCATGGCGCAACCTAGTTTCTTTACTTTTTATTTCTGAGATGCAAATGAAGTACTAGGTATACATTTTGCGTTTCTCAGTCAAAAACAAGCAACTTTTTCCATTATGATTTTTTTGTTGTGATTGCAGAATAAATGAAATTGTATTTCATTTTCTATATATCCACAAATTTTATTGAGCAATAAGATTCGCCCAACTATATATCTGTTTTGGGCATAGTAAGGGTTAAAATGCAAAGAATACGACAGTCTCAAAAACGAAATTTGAATTTAATGTTCCGACCAGAAATGGATGCTTATAAGTACATTCCGTAAAGCTAAATGAACATCCATACAGGACAGATATTACTGCTTGTCAGGAGAAATCTTAATAACTATAGAACCCTATTACCTTACAATGCAACATATCATATATACTAAAAGATTGCCTAACTTGGTTTTGTGTCTTATTTGTCTCCTTAAGTAGTTTTTTTTCAGTATTTATAAAGTTTTTAAAGAAAAGTGCAATCAAAATTTGACCAAGAAAATACTGATTCTAAAGACTTGCTTCATAAAGTCAAGAAAATCGCAATACATACATTTTGATAGATACATCTGAAACCCTTTAAACAAAAGTTATTACGAGAAAAGATAATCGTAAGTCATGAACATTTCAGTATAACTTAGAACGATCAATTTTTATCGTAAGTTTTTTTTTTGTGAAAAGAGCTGCTGGATCATAATCTTCTTGGTGCATGTAGGTTAGTTAAGATATGAGTATCGTACGTTTATTTTATTCCGAATTAGACGTGACCTCGTGAAACATGTCTCATATGTAAAATATTGATAATAATAATAAGAAAAACGGAAAAACCATTTTTTATACTTTCCTTTTGATAATTGTTGGGAATTTCTCCGTGGTTTTGATAAAAGGAAGTACTTAAACTGCATATATTATATAAATTTACAAATAACCAGTATTGTGAACTGTAATACAGGAACAACAAAGGTGGTGAGTTTTATGTTCCAATCAAATCTTAGAAATGTAATCCTAAAGAATAATACGATATGTCTGAGATTTAAACAAATTCTTTCTTCAAAGTAACGATATTAAACATTTTTTGGGCAAAACTAGTTCGTACCAATTACAGTTTATCAAATACTTTTTTTTATCAATAGTTCTAAATAAAATAATTTGTCAGTAGTAAAAGATCTGGTGACTTCAACTATTTACTAGCTGATCGTGCAAGACCTGATGGCGAGGCTGCGTCTTTATCAAATGTTTCATACATGTTAGTTGTACTGTTGCCCTTTTAGATATGTTTTTGTAATTATATATGTTGGGTTTTGTATTTTTGACGTTAAACCCACATCTTCTTTTATCATGGCATATCTAATTTTCGTGTTATTCTTTTTAATCAAAGGGATATAAAAAAATCCGTCACACTAAGGGCTGAATACGATCCCACATTGGACCCCGCCGAGGGCGTAGCCACTAGGTAGATCAAGGAGGATTAACAGACAGTTTCATTCAGTCTGACTACTCCAGTGGGACGGACTTTCACTTAATTATCAATAAAAAATCATGTCATATAGTAAACAATAAATCGATTAAAATATTACCGTAACATTAAATGTATGTGGTATTAAATCAAAATTAATGTACCCTGAATTTTTTACTTTACTTGATAATTATGATGTTGTATGTTTTAATGAAACAAAACTTGACGATCTGGATACAGTAGAATTGGATAATTTTATTTTTCGTTTTAAAAACCGTAAAAAGTATTCAAATCGAAAATCTGGTGATATTGCCTTTGGCTATCAGAGAAATTTAGAAAATGTTATTTCCCCAATACAAACTGATTGTCCTTTTGTTCAATGGTTTAGTATTGACGAAAAAATATTTGACTTAAAAGTAGTGTTATATTTGTAGTAATACTAAGCAATCAAATGTATATATAAATGTAGAATCTGGTGAAAATAATACATATATTGGGAAATGGAATCATGATCAAGTTAATTAATATAAAGAAAATATTGACAAAGAAAGTATATCTAAATTGTTATCTTTTATTATGACAAAAACTGAAAATGTTCAAACTGTTGATAAAAATACTATTGATGAAATTGTAAATGAAATAAGAGATGTTTTACTCAATTCTGCTAGAAATACATTTGGGGAGTTCGTACAGAAAACTTATGGATATGATTTCACGGGAGGGAAACAAAATCACCGTGATTGGTTTAACACAGAATGCCGCCGGGAAAGGAGGGCGTTTAGAAAATCAAAAAGGTTATATAAACGATATGGTTCACGCATGTTCAAGGAACGTATGAGACGTAGTGAAACTCTATATAAAAAAACCATGGATCAAAATATCAGATCATTTAATGTTAATTTACGTTCAAAAATGAAAAAGATGCGAACAAAAAACCCGAAAGAATTTTGGAAAATTATAAATCGAGGTAGAAGAAGGAAAAAAAATGATATTATTATTGAAGATTTGTTTTCCTTTTTTTAAGGATCTGAATAAAAATAACGAAACAGAAAACCGATACATATTAGAAAATGATGTTAACGAAAATTCATCAAATGTATTTCTTAATGCTTGTATCACTAAAGATGAAATATTGAAGGCCATAAAAAGCCTGAAAAATAATAAGACACCTGGAATGTCAACTTGATTTATTTGAGAAAATGGTTTTACCAATACTGTTATATGAATCAGAAATATGGGGTTTTGAAAATATAGATATACTTGAACGTGTACATTTACAATTTTGTAAAATGATTTTTCATTTAAAACAGTCCACTCCAAATTTCATTGAATATGCAGAGCTTGGCAGCTACCCCATTACCGTGTCTGTAAAGTTAAGAATGGTTAATTTCTGGAGTAGACTTCTTAATGGAAAAGAAAGTAAAATTTGTGTTATATTATACAAACTTGTATCTTTATATTATAATGATAACGGAATAGAAACTAAGTGGATATCATATATTAAAAATATGTTTGATAGTTGTGGTATGTCCAATATATGGAATGCACAGTTTGTTGATAAATGGGTGTCAAAATGTATTGAGCAAAAACTCAAAGACCAGTTCCAACAAGAATGCTTTGCTTTTGTTGCAGACTCGCCTAAAACTTTATGTTATCGTGTTTTTAAAAAGAATTTTCAATTTGAAAAATATTTTTCTTCTTTGCCTTACAAATTTATTCATACATTTTGCAAATATAGATGTGGAAGTCACCACTTGCCGATTGAGTCTGGAAGGTGGCAGGGTTTACCGAGAGAAGATAGAATCTGCCGTCTCTGTGACTCAAACGACATTGGTGACGAGTTCCATTACATTATGAATTGTGGAACATTTAAGTTGGAAAGAAAGAAATTTTTACCGAAATACTGTTTGTCAAACCCTAATATCTATAAATTTGATCAACTGTTTAACTCATCAAATATTGTAATATTAGAAAAACTATGTAAATTTATCAAAGTTATAAATGTGAAAGTCAGTCCTCCAAGTTAATTTCAGTGTATTGTTCACACATGCATGTAAAAATTGTACCTTATAGTTATATTTATGTATGTTCTCTATAACTATGTAGTTGTAGTTTTATGAGAAATAAAGTATTCGTATTCGAATACAATTAACTAGGATATATGAACTTCGTATAAACTGTCATCGTGTATTATTATCTTGGGAGATAATATACTGTAATTTCATAACACTTTATTACTAGAAATATTTCTAGTGCTTTCTTTAAGCCGCACACTTTCATAGAAGTTGCTATCTTATTTGTAATTACATAACACTTTATTACTAGAAATATTTCTAGTGCTTTCTTTAAGCCGCACACTTTCATAGAAGTTGCTATCTTATTTATAACAACGATAGCTTACAGTTCGAGTTCTCCTCAAAAGATGGTCATTGACGTGGACGATACCAGACTTAGCTAGTACGACTACATTATTCCTCTAATTGATTCTGTTAATGAATGTAAATCACAAACTTTTATGAAACCTTTGTTTCCTCGAATGATAGCATATCTGTTAAATCAAAATAATAATAGTTGAGTCCGAGCTGTTCTGTTATGAAATAATTAATTGCACAGAACGATGATAAGGAGGATTTTCATATATTTAAAATTCTCCGAAAAATAAAATGTACCGCAGCAAATTAGAGACAACACAACAAAAACTGAGTGATGAGTTGAAGTGGCTTATATATCTATAATTGTACAATTACGCTTCGTATAAGGGAAGGACATCTGGATACAGAATTTCTATCTTTTTTTATTTCGATTTTTTTGTTTGTGTTGCATGAATTTGGTAGATGATAAAATCATATCTATTTAATTATTGCTTACTGTAATGTTTTTTTCCCGACTATGTCCTCTATCACTTGTATGACAGATGATTATCATCGCATGAAAATTCTCGCCACAATATGTCTATTTAAAAAAAACGTGAGCTATATCATGTTTGAATAAAACATTGGGATAAAATTAATAGGAGGTAGACACCATTTGTCAAAGAATTTGGATCTGTATATAAGTGAGCTGGTGAGAAATGGCACTAACCATGCTGTGTGTGCATATACAGTCGGCAAATTATATGATTTTTAGAAAAAAGTTAGTACTTAGTATCCATACTTACTCTTGTGCTCAGAGGATATAAAGATCCGGTAAATAATCAAGTACCTCAAGCAAATTAGTTCGAATAAAACTATTGTTATAAATAACTTCCTTGGTCATTTCCGAAATCTTCAAATTTATAATTGTGTGATAGTCGAGGGAACCAATAAAAAGTAACACAAAACAAAGATCAGATTTAAGTCGCTGTCTATGAGGTTACATAATGTTTATAAGTACGCACATATATTTCGGTTTATATAAATGAAATCTCAGGTTTCATCAATCAGTATTTCCACATGTAGGCGAGTGACTTATTTCAAAAAGACTCTTAGTTAACGACTTTAATGCACCCACCTAACACACGGCTGTTCTATATATCATTCGAAAGCTAATAATCTGTACTTTCTGTTTTGTCCAGTCGTAAAAAATCGTATTCTGTTAAATCAAGGTCAAAGGTCATGAGAAAACATTCCAATTTTGCGATTACTAAACAAAAGGCCGTTTTCTAATTCTTGCACCATAAAATTTTTCAAAAGATCATATGAACTCTATATAACATAATACATTATTTCCAAATCAAACAAAAAATAAGAGGTTATATGCGCAATATTTCCCGAAAATTGAAATTCATCACAAATCCTAAAAAAATTAAAAATTGTTCCAAAAGCAAAATATATCTTGGGGGATTGATATTTATATGCTAAAAAAATAGAGAAATAATATGTTTTAGGTCAAGGAATATTTGTTTTGTAATTTTAAGATGCAATTATTAATTATTGTTCATAGAACAGCCTTCTATTGAAGTGTTTGCAGTTGCCCAAAAATCTGCCATCTGCAAATAGCGATCATTTTGTTATTCTATGTTAAGATAGCACATCGCTAATTGTCAATATCAGGGAGGAGAATGATTTTCCATAATAAAAGAAAGGGGTATTTAAAGTTCGAAAAGAATATGTAGGAGCTAATTGAGGTGAAACATGTTTTTTACGAAGTCAAACTTATTTACTTTTTTTAATCGTGTTTAAATGCAAACATGAGTTTGCGACTAAATCGTAGGCAACATTGAAATAAGTAACCTTGTTTAGAAACACTTGGTTGTCTAAAGCGGGATGTAAACGAACTACATATAATGCTGCTGCTTCTTATTTAGTTTAAAATCGTGTTAGACATATTAAATGTGTTTAGAATATTAATCTCTTTAATTATTTGAATAAAAGATGCTTCTATATATCTTTATTCTCACAAACCAAATTTCAAAGGTATAGAGATAGGATTGAGTATTTTTAACATAAGCTTTTAAAATACAAATGCAGGTCATTGTGTATGTAAAACACTATAAGCAGTTATGAAATAAAAAAATGAAAAAGTTGAATACCTTCCTGACCTCATAAAATCATTCGCTGTTTTAGGCAGTGATAATTTTCATGCTGTGCTGTGTTTTGTGGACTGTTGTTCGTCTCTTGGACTTTAATTCTATTTTGTTCGTGGTTTTAATTAAGTTTATTTGATTCATGGTTTGAGATGTTGATTGTCCCTTTGGTATTATTTCACTTTAAAGATATTAACTTGCAGTAATGAAAATCGGCAAAAAAATCGCCTCAAAGTAAAGTGAAGAAGATTAACGCAATAAGACAAATATCCGCGAAAATAACTTAATTTGCTCACGGTGATATATATATAGAACCAAATCGTTATTATGATACATTTAACTACAATGATCTACAATTTTAAAAACTTTTACTATTTGAAGAGTTACGAAATATATCAAAGGGACATCAAACTCATAATTGAAAACGAACTGACAAAGCCGGGCAAAAAACTAACAAGACAAGCAACAGTATACAAAACACAACATATAAAACTACAGATTGAGTAACACAAACCCCCCAAAAATATTTGGGGTGAACTCAGGGGCTCCAAAAGGGTGAGCAGATCATATTCCACATGTGACACCCGTCTTGTGGCTCGTGTAATTCCTACCTCGGTGCCAAGCCTTATTCGGTAGGTGACATTCAAGGCAGAAATGACGGTATTTTGGTTACGTCGATTGGAACTTATCAGTCGTCATCTGGCAAAACAGATATTTCATAATTGTCAACCAACTCGTAGTGGCGCCCATAAAATTTTCAAAGGGATGATTTCAACTTTGCATTTGAACTCTGGTTTAAAACCATGTTCAAACCACCATTTTTCTTCAAATGTCCTGTACCAAGTCAGGCATATGGCAGTTGGTATCGAATAATCTGTTTCTTTGTATGTTAATGTTTGTTTTTGTAGCAGTTCAGTGTTTCTGTTATTCCGTTGTGTTCCTCCTATAGTTGATGCGTTTCCCACGGTTTTGGTTTGTGACCCGGATTTGTTCCAGTTACTAGTAAATCGATTGATGACTATTGATTAGCGGTATACTATAGTTGCCTTTATTTAATATCTTCATTGTGAGCAGTTACGCACTATCACGACAATCGTGAAAGTAAATGCAAGCTCTGGAAGATTGTATCAACTTGGAGATATATACTCCACAAGAAGATGCCGCGAAATCGCGTTACAATTGGGCAAGTGTTTAAATAAAGAGTTTTATTTAATTTTGCGGGCAGTACGTCGACTGAGCATGCAAAGACAAATTTAGGAAATGCAAAACCCTACATTTATACGTCATATCATAAATATTCCGACTTGTTATTATTTCAGAGGAGTTGAGGCTCAATGAATTCGGTCTCCTCCTTTAATAGTATAGATATGCAGGTGTTGCTATAATGTTGCTACATAGAAATGAAAAGTTTATAATTGGTTAGTAAGAAGTGTTTTTATGGGTTGATTTATGCTCATCTCTTTTGTGGTAAAACTTGTTCTAAACCAACCATCATCGTCGATTTCAAGATAAGTGGTAGAGTAAACTATATCTGTTGAGTCTTTTTTTTAATTTCAATGGAAAATACGAGTCCAACATTGTGACAAATTTGGCACTATTCAGCGAGATGACATCATCTATATAGTGGAAAGTGAAGTTTCAAGATAATGGTAGCTTCTTTTCAGTCGTCATCAGAAGCTCTTGCATAAAGTCATCCTCGTATGAAAAATGAACTAGTCATTCAAGCTATTCAGAAAGTCTAGTTGTAACTAGAATCGTTGCGTAATAATGGATTTTTTTCTTCAAAATTATTCCTATTTAATGAATTAATGCATTGAAACAATGAACAACGCAATTTAAGCAATCAAGAATTCAAGTTTTATAATGTGTTTACTGGTTTTTAAATTCTTTTAAATTTGAATTTTCATCAATTTATTTTTTATTTATTTTTGTCTAAATTTTCAATTTATTTTTTATGGTTCACATTAAATAAATAAAAGGTCTTTTCACTACATCAATATTTATAATGAAGCTACAAATCAAACAATTAGAAAAGTCAAAAGATGTTTATTTCAGTCTGGTAGTCTCTTAGTTTCGCCCCCTTTATTTCAAGCAAAAGTATGATTCGCACACATATTTTTTTACTTTAAATTTTTCAGATTCTTATGAATTTGTTTATTAAATCTTATATTGACCTTATACAATGTTTAAATAGGAAGAAATGCTTAAAAGCTGTTTTTTTCGCAGATGGCGGTATATTGGGCAACTGCATGAGTTGTTATGATTTGCTGTTTGATTAGAAGTAAGCATAATTTTAGGAAATTTATGATGTCAAAAACTTTTTTGATAGTTATTACAAGGTTTAACTTAGTTTTTAGTGATTAGCAGTTGCATCAGAAAGAAAAATTTGGGTTTTCACACATTATGTCAACTTTTACTCGAATTTCAGGAAACATGTGCTGTCTATCAAAAACACGTTTTAAATATTTTAAAATGCATTTGATTAATGACCGTTAATCTCTCTGCTAAAAGTTTAAATGGTTTGCATATGTGAATTTAGTATATAAAAGTCATATTATGCAATCAAGCTGAAATCTTAGAAAATATGCACTTATTCGTCCTTGGCCTTTGATCTTGATTTGACGGAAATTGCACCGTACGATTTTTTTACGACCGGGCAAAACAGATAGTACAGATGTGTAGCTTTCAAATGATATATAATTTAGCCGTGTGTTAGGTGGGTGCATTAAAAATTTAATTTTATGGTTAAAGTCGCTCGCCTAATGCGTCCTTTCTCTTTTACCACAAAACTTATAAATTTTTGTGTTTGTGATGTCAGTCACGTAAGAAATTGATAATAATTAATGGCACTGTAAAAAAGTCGTGTTTTTTAATTTCCTATATATATGTTAAATTTCCATGCACTCAGATCATATTTCTACATTTTTAAATCTCCGCATAACATTTTTCCAAGAACATCTTTTTCTTATAATTGCTACTGTATACCATATAAGGATGCCTAAAAGCATCCGGGAGTGTTCTATGATGACACTTCAGAAAAATAAGCTCAAAAGACCGACGAACACAGAGATATATTCTATTATTCTGTTGAAGTTGAAAAAGAAATAACGTTAAAAAATACACATCGACAATGGACAATTTGACATTTTTGTACATAAGTCACAATAATATCATTCAGAAAATATTTATTGCAACTGAGTTTTTTTTCCAATTTCAAAAGCACAGATCTTCAGTACGGCTACAAAATGATTTCACGACAGAAAATTATAATTGGAGGATTGAAACAATTTCAATTTTGCCGACAAATACAGCGTCATTCAAGTCATACAACATCCCCTGTTAAGAGGTAAGTGAGGTATCAGTTTCGTTAAATTTTAGTTATATTTTTTTGTTTTATTCTAAATTGAATATAAATGTCGAAACACCAAATTGGACGCTCTTTTTTGAAGAACTCTTTAATTTGTTGGCATTCGTAATTTTGGATTTTATATAAAAGCACTTGGTTCAAATGGATAACTGACTATTTTGATAGATAACATTCTTTGAATACATTATTGTGCTGTTTCTATCTGAATTCTTTTACTATGATAAATACAAGTTAGAAAGTATAAAGAAAGGCAAATTAAGAAATAAATAATCAAATAAAACGGGATCGACAGACAAATCCATGACTGGAAAATGATGAGCAACAAAAAAAACCCAAAAAAACAGGACTATATATATAATACGGACTATTCATATAATAAAATGCTGACTTTGCTCTAACCATTTTCGGAGCAAATGCTGCAGAAAAGCACAAATTTTAATACAATTTTTCCACGATTAAATTGTATGATATATTTTTCATTATTATGATATAAAATCTTTTGCAGGATTGCTGCACATCCAACATTTAATTGTCCATACTTGGGATCACTTCCAGTCCAACAAGATGACTACTGCAAAGATTTTTATATGGAGATAGTAAATGGCAGTTTAGAATCCGCCTACAAGAAATTTGGTCCGAGTACATGTTTGGAAGGAAATGAAGTTAAGCAAAGACTATCAGGCAAATCTGTTCTGATTGTTGGAGCTGGTGTGTCCGGGCTTTCGGCAGCTTTTGAATTAGAAAAAGTTGGACACAGTGTAAGATTTGATGTCATAATGTAGCGGCTAAGAAAATTGACATTCTTCTCATTCACGAGTTCCGAGAACTTGATATGACTATGATAAACAATGTAATTCGTTGATTTGATTGCTTTCGCGGATTGTCATTATATAGATATAAGAAGATGTGGTATGAGTGCCAATGAGACAACTCTCCATCCAAGTCACAATTACGTCTTTATATATATTTCAGACACACATTATTGAGTTACAACACAGAGTTGGCGGAAGAACAAAGACTCTTCGTGATGGATTCTCAGATGGCCTGCATGCTGAAGGTAAATCTATGTCCAATATTGTTTACATAGGATTAAGAGGTATAGAGCTACATTTTTTTGGCTATATTTTATACATTATTGTTTATTAAACTTATTTTAAGGCAGTTATGGTTGGATGCATAGAAAAACACAGAACTGTCTGAAGTACATTTGTTTATTTGGTCATAGTTTTGTCTTCAGTTGTTTATGTTTTCTTCTGATGTGAACATCTATAAGACATTACCAATGTCCATATACAAATAAAGTTAGAAAAATCATGAGTGAACGTGCCATAAGTTTATTAAGAATCTCTGCCTGTTTCGATATTTCTATATAATCGGTTAAATTATGAGCTCGTGTTTGCGATCAAATGGTTCAGAACCAATTTTCTTAGTAGAACTTTGATTTATAATCGTTTCCACAATTAAATTATATTAAAAGTCTTTTCCTTGAAATTTTCCTGTATAAAATTGAAATCTTTCTAGAGTAGGATTTTTTTTCTAATTCATAATGTTTGAAATGTTAGAAGTTTAATTCTTTCCACTCTATATACTGAGATATGTTTGACTTTTTGAAGAGATTTCAATTTAAGATTGATAAAAAAAAAATACAGATACTTACATAATACAAATATGAAAGATTCGAATTTTATTTGCTTTGTGTTTTCTTAAAATAAAAAATGGTTCATTCGCAGTTATAATGACGTAGTCTGCACAACTTACATCTGTACCTGATTTACGGATATTTCTCATTATTAAACTCCGTTGTATTTCTAAAATTAATCTTTTGAAATATAATGTTTAAGCAATATCCTATCAGTCTCGTTATAATACATATTTGAAAATTTAGAAACATGGCGCTGACAAATAGTATAAATAGTATAGACCAACACACACACAGCCACTTTTCTTTAAAAAAATTACCTATATACTTTAATGTTATATTAAAGTATATAGGTAACTTTTTTCAGAGACAAGTGCCTGTGTTATTTCGGTAAAGTAAAGTGAAGTGTGGCGGACACGTAGCCTGGGATTCCGGCTCACTGCTCGACAGATTTGGTCAGGATGCCAGGCTAGCGGACACATTTTTATATAGATGGAAATATCCGCCATAATTATACATGTCTTAATTTGTAAAATGCCATTTCTTAATTTGTAAAATTTAATTTGTAAAATGCAATTTCTTAATTTGTAAAATGTCATTTCTTGTACTTTTTCATCCGTTACATGAATTTCTACATTTCTTGATTTGTGAAATGTCAATTTATTAATTTGTTAACGTATTTTCTTCGTTCGTTAAGTGGAATTCTAAATTTCTTAATTTGTGAAATAATATTTCTTTATTTATTGAAATATATTGTCTTAATTCTAAATCGTAACTATGAAATTATAAATTTCTTTAATTTGTAAAATGGAATTTCTAGGTGTCACGGTATAGGACTTATATTTTTTTCAATCGAATCGAAATATAAAAACTCTCTATCTGTGAAATGTAAATTCTTGGTTTGAGTCACGTTTTTGGAAAATGTGTCAATGTAATTGTTACCGCTGACAGCCAATGAAAGATCATGAGAAGTTCCGTTTCTCAAGCAAAACTACAAAGTTACAAACCAAGAAGTTACAAATCAAGAATGAAATAGTTCCACAATTCCACACCTGATTAGTGGATAATAGGCTCGGACCTACAATAATAGAATGGGGTTGTTTAAAAGAAAAACATAGAAGGGTTTATGAAAACACATATTTCGGAATACAAAGTCCGTTGAGTTATACTTATTAACTTTATAAAAGCCAAGCTTGGGGGAAAATAAGGGGGAATTGTATGATCTTATATTTGCAATCATGGTTTGTATCTGTTATAGTATCTAAATAACTGTAAATGTAAAAATGTTTAATTCCTGTGCTGGCATTTTCACTTCAAATAGATTCGAAAGATCTTGATATATGAACTAACTAGAAAAATCTTCTTGAACACATGTTTAACACAAAAATCAGTAAAAAAATATCCTCCTCCCATATTCTATGAAGCTTTCAAGCTTGAGATGATATCCCATACATTCAAAATTTATGAATTCGTTACTTTCCAATTAAAGACTTTTGTGCCGCATTTGATATAAAAAAAGGGATTTTTTTAACATTTAAAAAAAATCCTATCACCAGATCAATTACAAAATAAAAAAAAAACATAAAATTTTTCGATATAGCCTTAATTAATTTTAAATGGAAAAAAACAACACTGATGTAATGCTAAAAAAAAATGGGTACGAGTTGGTCAATGTACGAGTGGTTAATTACTATAGTACTTTTAAGTACACGACAACTCGTACCTTTGCAAACTCGTACCTAATATTCACCAACGGACTTTGGTGTTCAAAGTGCAGAATCTGTTCCGAAATCTGTGTTTTCATAAACTCTTCTATGGCAAAACTATTTAAATTGACTCTTTTATGGCACCAGGGAATCTTTTATTTCATATACAGGTGGAGCAATGAGAATCCCACCAAATCACTACCTGACTGATGGGTACATTCAGAAATTCGGCATCCCTGTTCGCCCCTTCATTAACTTCAACGATAATACTTGGCTTTACATTGATGGAGAAAGTAAAATCAGAACAAAAGGTAATAGTATCTTGTTATAATTGACAATATGTGTTGCATCAGTTATTACGACAAACATGTCGGCGAAAACAAATTTAACCAGCAGGTGATGGTGCAGTTGACAGTCATTTGTGAAATAAAATAGATAAACCTTTCTCGCCTCACATTTAAATTGTTTCAGACTGATGTTCAATTAAATAATATTTTTCAGATAATCTTTGACGAATACAATTGATGCCATGAAAATAATTGTGATGTATATTCTAAACATAGATTTATAGTCCACATTTCAGTATTTGTGTTTAATCTGTCTTTCTAGGCATAATTACACGTGAGAGGACATCAATTTATTCCTGCATTGATTTCCCCGTTTCTTATACTAAAAATACATGATAAAAATATAACATACACATATTAATTCAAGATATATCTCCTGGTTAAAAAAATATAATTACATACCAATGTGTTTTTTTTTCAGAATGGAATGAAAACAATCGATTTTACTCTACAAAGTTTTTTCCTGGATGGGACTCTCATCTGCAATCTGATATACGGCCAAATGTGGACGGCATAAGTATGGTTTTATATTATTATGCTTTCAATTAAATGTTATCTACAGTTTTAAATTTTAAACAATTTAATCTGGTAATAATGCGAATTGTATCAGCGAATAGAAACAAACTAATATGTTCATATATTTAACATTTATTTATCATTTATTTAATACCGTCATTGTTGAAATCAGGCAACACATTTTCTTTTTCCTTTTTTTACTTCCAACATATTTTGGTAGTTATTATTGTATTACAAATATTACCATTCTACATTGTAGTGGATTTATATAAGCGTACAGTAGGACCCGTGAAAGAGGATTTGTTTTCCCTGATCAAAGAAAAGGGGCCACAGGAAGGCTGGAAAGAGTGGGTAGAAAAATGGAGTAAGCTTTCTGTAGATGATTTCCTCAGAACAAACATAAACTCCGACTCATGTTCTGCTTATCGGCCATGGCCAGAAGCAGCTATCAGAGGATTGCAGGTGATTAGAAACTTCTCTGTTTAACTATATGAATCAAAATGTTACAATTCATCTGTTTTCTGTATTTTAAAAACCACGAACATTTGTGTTGTTCATTTCTAATGAATGATAAAAGATAAGAAAGACGTGGATAAAAAACACTTTCAAATGCCAGATCAAGGTAGAAATGCAAGATATTATTTATTTACAATAATTAAAATATTCAAGTGGTAAATCTAAATCGTTTAAATCTTTGTATTGATAAAAAAAATCAATATGAAGATTAAGCAGACTGGTTTCCGTGTGAAAAACCTTATTTCATATGCTTGTTCTGTGAAAAACAGGACAACTATAGGGTTAAATCAAATAAATAAATATACGTCATCAAGGACCGCCCATTTGGGGGAGAGCTTTCTGTATATACTACTAAAGTCCTGTCCTCTTCTGATCGGTAGATAATGTTTTTAAGGTAGCTACCATATGATTTTTAGGTGGGGGGGGGGGGGGGGGGGGGGCTTGGATGAAATTTGGAAAAAAGGTAGGACAGGAGTTTTGAGTTAAAAAAACTGGCAGAATGACAATTTATGTTAAAAAAGTCAGGATAAACTAATAAAAAAAAGGCAGGACTGAATAGAGTGAAAAATAAAAAGGAAGGACAGAGATTACAATTAAAAAAATTTAGTGCGAATCTACAGTGTTTGTAAGCAAGGCTATGTGAATGGCCCAAAAATACTGCATGACCCCATGTTATTTTTGTTGCAAAAGATGGGGCTACATTTGTACTTTAATGAATGACATATGGAAACCTATGATTTCTAAAGGTAAACCAGGTACAAATTAGTTCAAGTCATAGTTTTGCATTAATGTCAATGTGAGATTTTTTACTGAATTTACCCCTATAAAAGTTGCAATACACACTCAATTCATTTATTTTTAAAATGCACCCGAAGTTGTGTGTTCTAGTTGCATTAAAATAAACAAAAGTCGTAATAGTAATAGGAAGGAATATCTGAATCATTTGATAATAGATATAAGAAGATGTGGTATGAGTGCCAATGAGACAACTCTCCATCCAAGTCAAAATTTATAAAAGTAAACCATTAAAGGTCAAAGTACGGTCTTCAACACGGAGCCTTGGCTCACACCGAACAACAAGCTATAAAGGGCCCCAAAAATTACTAGTGTAAAACCATTCAAACGGTAAAACCAACGGTCTAATCTATATAAAAAAACGAGAAAAGAGAAACACTTATGAACCACATCAACAAACGACAACTACTGAACATCAGATTTCTGACTTAGGACAGGTGAAAACAATTGCAGCAGGTTTAAACGTTTTAATGGTACCAAACATTTACCCTTATCTGAAACAATAGTGTAACATCACAACGTAGAAAGACACACTATAAAATATCAATTGAAATGGCTTAACTCAATCAAAAGACATATTAACACCAGTGAACATACACTGAACACATAAATTTGATCTATTATACAATGCAAATACAAAATAAATAAACTAAGGGAAGAATAATTAAAGTAACATGTTATACCGCTGTGAAATGTTAAAAAATTTAAGAAAAACAATATGCTTGAACAAAAATATCAGCCATTTGCAATTACTTTAAACACAGGTAAATGAAAATAATTTTGTTGTTAGGTATACGTGTACAGTTCAAGCTTAATATAAGCTTACTTTCATTGATGGCAAGGGTATAATGTTCAAACATATATATATATATATATTAGATTTCGACATACAGCCCTGCCTTTGGAACAAGTTTAGTTGAATACCTAAGAGATGAATTTGGTAAATGGTGGACGGATCGTCTTCATACCCCTGTCGATGGTATGGACACCATCGCCAAGAATTTTATAAAACCTCAACACACAAGTATAGAAAACACCACTGATTTGGCAAAACGAATAACATTTGGCACTAAAGTACGAAGCGTAAAAAGAAACATGGAAAATAAGGTTGAAGTTACTGCACGTAATGTTATGACAGGGACAGATCAGACTTACACAGCAGATGCTGTTATTATTACAGTCCCATTGACAATACTCCGACAGATGGACATAGACCTTGCAGAGGATTGTCGTAAAGCTATAGGTAACATCCATTATCAACCATCTACCAAAGTTGTTCTCCAGTGCAAGAGCAGATTCTGGGAAAAAGAAGTTGGTCAAGGGGGATTCTCAAAAACGGATTTACCAATTGGACAGTTACACTACCCCAGTCCTAATGATCCGCATATACCAAACGGGAGAGGTCTTTTGGTTTGCTATACATGGGAACAAGATGCCTTAATCTTTGGTTCACAATCAGAAACTGAAGCAGTTGAAAGTGCAGTTCGAGAAATCACAAAAATACACCCTGAAATGAAGAATGAGTTTGAGGTTGGAATGGTTCAAGCTTGGTTCAATGATAATGCAGCACAAGGAGCGTACGCCAGTCTCATTCCAAACCAATATAACAGTGGAATGAAAACTCTGATGACACCAGATCATCCTATTTATCTGGCTGGTGAAGCTATATCATACACCAACGGGTGGATACAAGGGGCCATAGAATCTGGCCTTAATGCTGCTTATCATTTGTACTGTAATGGTAAAAGATCATAACTCTATAACTTCCTATGTTTCATGCATTTTTATACCTAAATTAAAAAAAAATTGAGAACAATTCAGGTGCTAATGTACTTCTCACACTTCTTAATGTATCTTACATACTAAATATAGTTAACCAATCATGCATATTTTTTACATAATAGATCGAATAAAAAAATACTAGTTTACCACATCACTCTGAAGTGTGGAAAAACTCATCACTTTCAATTCGGTTTGCGCATTTCGTTCACATAATCATCACCAGTGGCACTCAAATCAGAACAGTTACAAAGTCAAACAGCATTGAAAGCTAAAAATTTCAAAACAAGTTGGCCCATTTCTAGTTAAGGCTATTTATGCTTGGCACTGTTTGTAAAGCAGCATCAGCATGTAATTATGAAATTATATGTCCTGACGATTGTCCTGACGATTGTCCTGACCGATATGAAAATGCTCATTACTTTTTTTATTATTGGAAGGATTAACTTCAAATTTGAAACCAAGCAAGATGACAACAAATACAAGCAAAATTAAAAACCAATTGTTCAAAGAACAATTGAAGGTCTTTCCACATCAATTTTCTAAATAATTGATGAGAAGATAATTCTGGTTTACTCAAAGCTACTATTGGCGTCCAATCATAGGTTTCTTCATACTGATTCAATAAACATGGTTTCTATAGACTTTTGCCTGAAATAAGGGAGATAATTGTTAACATCCGTTTAAGAAAATGTCACTTCCGGTCTCATATGATAGCTTTATTTACACTGATTCCAAAAATATATGGTTTATATATACTTTTGCCTGTAAAAAAGGAGATAATTGGCTACTTCCGGTTTAGAAAATGTCACTTCCGGTCTCATGATACATTTATTTACACTGATTCCAAAAATATATGGTTTATATATACTTTTGCCTGTAAAAAGGGAGATAATGGGCTACTTCCGGTTTAGAAAATGTCACTTTCGGTCTCATATGATAGCTTTATTTACACTGATTCCAAAAATATATGGTTTATATATACTTTTGCCTGTAAAAAGGGAGATAATTGGCTACTTCCGGTTTAGAAAATGTCACTTCCGGTCTCATATGATAGATTTATTTACACTGATTCCAAAAATATATGGTTTATATATACTTTTGCCTGTAAAAAGGGAGATAATTGGCTACTTCCGGTTTAGAAAATGTCACTTTCGGTCTCATATGATAGCTTTATTTACACTGATTCCAAAAATATATGGTTTATATATACTTTTGCCTGTAAAAAGGGAGATAATATGCTACTTCCGGTTTATAAAATATCACTTCCGGTCTCAAATGATAGATTAATGTATGACCATTCAAAAAATATATGGTTCCTATGTACTTCTACATGAAATAAGTGCAAAAATGACTTCTTCCGGTTCACTCAAGGTCACTTCCGGTTGACATTTTTCAAGGTCATATGTCACCCAACATTTTGCAAAAGATCTTATGGCTTTATCATGTACCAATATGAAGTAATAATCAATTTACCTTAAAATAAAACATTTCAGGGGCAATAACTCCAATAAGATGTCGCTGGATTGTCTCAGACCAAATGTATCATATCTTCATCACAATATAACAAATATTTTGCACTTGTTCTTTAATATATAACATTAAAAATATCGGAGAAAATGCAAAAACAAGCAAAAGACAAAATTCAGAACATGACCTTGACCTTTGACCTTGACCTCATTTTCGAAGTTAGGATCCAAGGACCTTAAATAAAATGACTATAGGTTTATACGGCTTACAGTTTATGAGTAACAAAAACATAACGACAAATTTATTTGATAAAGGTAGATAACTCCTATAAAATTTTATCGAATCGCTTCGATCCAAATTAGCCAAAAATTCCTGAGGATGTAACGAACAATTTGTAAAAAAGAATTTTGTTGATATCTTTTTTTGTTACGAAGGAGATGCACACAGATGATAAACAGTAAATAGGGAGATAACTCTTACAAAGAAAATGGTTCGGCTTAGCAGGGTGAAATTTAAAAGCGCATAAACTATACGATACAATATGAGAAATATCTAAGCGACATATTGCGAAACAAACATTTATCGCAAGAACAAAATTTGGCGGAAGAAAAAAAAAAAAAAAAAATAATAATAATAATAATCAGAACAAATACAATAGGTCTTTCCACAGAAAAGTGGAAAGACCTAATAATTAAAAAAATAATTTAAAGAGTTAGAAAACTTGACCTGACCAAATTCGACTTTGTACTGACTAATGTCCTGACGATTTAAAACTGCTAAATACTTTTTTATTATTGACAGGATAGACTTCAAATTCGGTACCAAGGAAGATTATATCATCCAATACAAAAATGAAAGAAAACAAAATGAAAAAAATAATTTTAAGAGTTACAAAACTTGACCTGACCAACGTCGACTTTGCAGTGACGAAAGTCCTGACCGATAAAAAAAAATGACAATAACTTTTCATTAATGAGAGGAATAACTTCAAATTTAGTAGCAAGGAAGATTACAACATTTAATATAAAAAGAAAAAGAAAACAAATATTTACAAGACAAAAAAACTTGACCTGACCAACATCGACTCTGCCCTGACAATAACATGACCGTTCGAAAAATGGAAAGACTTTGTTCATTTCTTAAATAAATGACTTAAAGTTTGGAATCTATCAATATTTTATTAAATATTTAAATGACTATATAAGAAAAAAGTGTGTACAAATATTGTAAGGGTAAAAAAATATTGACCTGACCATAGTCGAACTTGTCCTGATCAATTTTCTAACTGGCAGAACATGTTGTATTTCTTACCTTCAATTATTGATAATATAAATATCCGATCACAATAATACAACATTGATTGCAGAAAGATTAGGTTGAAATGAAACGAAAGAGAAAATATGAGTACCGGATGCTGAATGTGAGTATTGTTTATACATGTACACCTACTGTCATAGCTTCTTTCTTTTCTTCGTAAATTCCTCCGCATCGGAGCACCCGTGTCACACGGTAGTAAAATCTAAAACCTTATCTTTAAAATATTAAAATTAACATTAATATAAAAGAAAAGGTGGTAAGGGGATATATTTACAGCAGGCCATTATTTGTCTTTTTAGTATACGTTAAAGAGACATAAGTTATGGTAAGATATTTTAAAACGATGCTAAAAAAAAAACAAAAATAAGTAAAATTTGTGCTAAAAAATTTACAGAGGAAATAATTACATCATTAGATTTATTTGCATTAATTACTTGTATATAGTAACTCGTAAAATTTAAAAGTAACTCAAACCTTAAAATTATTACGATTAGATGTAAAAAATAGTAGCTTCTACAGGTTTTTGTACGACTTTTTCGCCCCAGCAGAGCTATAGAAAAACAGTACAATAACGGGTGTTACACGGACTTTTTATGAATAAAGTCACTCGTGCATTCAGTGAGTCCATAGGAACTTTATCGTACACCTTGTGACCTAATATTACCTTGTTTTATAAATAAAATTTATATGAAAAGTTTTTATATAAATCATAATTATAAAAAGCTAACTATGTCTCAAAATGCTGAAATTAGATAAAGTGTCGACGAAGTTACTGACTGTAAGAGTAGATGCAACCATAAAATGTTTCCATTTACAAACCTCTCGTGGTCAGAGGCGGATTTAGAGGATTTTCTAGGGGGCCCGGCCCCCCCCCCCCTTTTGTGGGAAAAATTTAGTTGATTATTTAGGGAATCACTGAAGCATGACTGGAGCGGGCCCCCTCTTAGGCAGTCAGTGCCCCCTCCCTTTATGAAAATTTCTGGATCCGCAGTGGCAGGGGGGGAGGGGGTCCGGGGGTTTGAACCCCCCCTTTTTTTGACGATCAATGCATTTGAATGGGGACATATAGTTGGAACCCCCCCCCTTTTATCCTGGGTTAGGAACCCCCCCTTTTTAAATGGCTGGATCCGCCCCTGATCCGCCACTGCTGGGTTTGCTTAGCAGTTAAGCTGAAATCGTCTAAATCGAACTATACGGAGGATTTCCCCTTTTTTCTTCATTTTCAAGGAATTCACTTAAGTCGTATTGTGATAGCACAAAATCAGTCTTAAAAGTCCACCCATTTTGGATATAGGGATGGAAATCCAAAGTCCTAACTACACACTAATTTTGGCCAACTAAATTAGACTCAACTGAAATATGCATTTTGCCGTGCAGACAGACTGGAGCCAGCATTTAATCAAATTTTTAATCCAATACAACAATACAATAATCTCATATACATATGCAAACATCATATAACACAGTAATAGTATCTATACTAAGTAATTTACACGCAACTTGGTGAACAAAAAAATATACTTCCGGCAACAATAGTAATAAATATCTATTAACTTCCAAGAACATTCCAAATGTTAAATATCATATTATGAATACCCGTCATAAACGGACACTCGCCGCCCAGGAAAAACCAAATAGTTTGGAAACCTGCGTCACGGAGCATTGCAAGAACCGTTTCTGGATAATGATGCCGTACTTCATCATGATTATGATAATATAAAAAGACAAATTTTTATATAAAACAGGAAGTTTTAACTGTACGATGTCTACGGCAAGAATGACCACCTAAACAATTTTTTCACGAACCCGCGAAAAACAAATTAGCATAACAAAACGTTAGGTCACCTGACCTATCAAATCATACATCATTGACCCATACAAAATATGATAGAAACTTTAAGACAGTATTTTTCCGCTATACTGCGAAACGCTGGAAAATTTATGTCCTAACTACACACTAATTTTGGCCAACTAAATTAGACTCAACTCAAATATGCATTTTGCCGTGCAGACAGACTAGAAAAACAAAGAACGGGCGTGAGAAATGCAATATGAGTACAATGCAAGATACTAATCAAATCATTATTCATAATAAAAAATAAAATTCAAATCCTAGGCATTCACAAGCCAAGTTTTTTTGTAACCTGAAGTCGATGATCAAGTGAATCAGCCACGTAACCATCTTTAGCAGTGTCGTTTTTCCACCGACCGTGTCGTTTCCAACAACGTTCGTTTACATCTGAATTGGCG